ATTTATTGAAAAGAATGCATAAGACTATAAGAATCCCAGCAATTTAACTATTTCCCATTTAGAACTAAAACATTCTAGTGTACATTAAAGTCTGCAAACAGAATCTGAGGAGGCAGATTTTTCAACTGATAACAGAAAAACTTGCAGAACCATCTCTTAAATCTTTTAACAACTCTTGCAAGGAATAACACAATGCACAGAGCTCATAAAAAGTTTTCTGAGAAGCTTTCAAGAGACAACCGCGAAGACTGTGAAAAACTCAAGCACATGACTATTCAAATTATATAGTGAGTGCTTGATTAAAAGAAATTTTGCTGGTATCACAAAGATGTTATCTACCACACTTTCACATGGAGCGTGCATGGTCCACATTAAGAGGAATTTAAAGTTTGAGAAGTTAATTTCAAGGACGTCAGTTAGTAGACTGATAATAACAATAATAATAAAGACCTCACACTGTTACAGAAAAGATGATGTTATTCAGCGATGTGGAGACAGGCAAACTGATGAAAAACAACTGGAGAAAAATAAAACTATGTTTGCACATCAAGACTGAAAGATTATGTAGGAAAAATGGAATGTAGTATCAGTTATATCGAACTCTTGGTGCAATACCCAAAGGACTCACCAAATATTTAGAAATTATAAATTTACTGGCCTTAATACTGCTAATTTTACAAAAGATGAACCTACTTGGAACAACATAACATTTCAGGGTGATAACTCTCTAACTTTTAGATGCCTGGTTAGTCCCCAAGTAATTGAAGTCAACACACTGTTGATTAGACAGTGATCTTCATTTGGATGAATAGAGCAATAATAACGCTTCAAGGATAAACATACGAAAATTCATAAAGAACAAGGATATTTCAATGACAACAAAAAGACCAAGGATAACTATGGTGTTTCTAACGGAAGTTAGAACACGTACAGAATGTACAGTTCTGACAAGTGAACAATAAGCCAGTTGATCGTTACTGACAAACCTTGAGTTTGGTGACTGTTGCTATGTGTTTCATAGATCGCAGCAAAAAAACAATCAATTAGTTGGATTGATCCCTTGGTATCTATTTCTTTATTTACATGCCCACCCATGACTCTAGGCAGGTATAATAAATGAGATGACTAGCCTGCAAATAAAAATTCACAAGGTTTGGGCATATAATGCAAGCAAATAAGACGCCCAGCAGGCTGGAGAGCAATAGTTTCAGGCAAATGGTTGTCCAATCTCTTCTTAAAAGGAGACATTGTTTAAAAGACCTGTAGGCCATTAATGAAGACTGGTTGAGATGGCAAACGTTTGTTCATGTTTGTTACAGTTACAAACTAGTTTGTTATTAGTGGTCAGACTCAGAATAACAAAGTGTGAAGGGACCTTGGAGGTCCTCTAGTCCAATCCCTGCTTAGGCAGGAAACCCTATACCACTTCAGACAAATGGTTATCCAACATCTTCTTAAAAACTTCCAGTGTTGGAGCATCCACAATTTCTGGAGGCAAGTCGTTCCACTCATTGTTCTGTTAGGAAATTTCTCCTTAGTTCTAGTTTGCTTCTCTCCTTGATTAGTTTCCACCCCTTGCCTTTTGTCCTGCCTTCTCTATTTGAAGAATAGATTGACTCCTTCTTCTTTGTGGAAGCCCCTGAGATATTGGAACACTGCTATCATGTCTCCCCTAGTCCTTCTTTTCTTTAAATTTAGACATACTCAGTTCCTGCAATTGTTCTTCATATGTTTTATCTTCCAGATCCCTAATCATCTTTGTTGCTCTTCTCTGCACTCTAGAAAGAGAGTCAACTCAACTCAATGGCACTAACTAGCTCAAACAAAATGTCATATGTTCTTTACCTCTCTACTTGATATTAAAACCACCCAGAGTTGGAAAGCATAGAAAACTGTTATGATGACGATGATGGTTGGTCACACAGTCAGTCAGTTATTTAGACTGAATTTGGCATTTTTATCCAATAGTTATTACTACTATATTCACAAAAATGTGAAATCACAGCTGGCAGTTTTGTAGCTGTGCTGGCCTTCCTATGCATCAAGTTCTTCCTAGGACAGGGGTGTCAAACCATGGTCCACGGGCCAGATGCGTCACAGGCTGGCCACGCCCATGCCCGGTTTAGTGAAAAGTTGCGATTTGACACTCCTGTCAAATGTCCATAATATATTGGTATAATATACAGTATGTGTGGACTACTACTACTTACTACTACTACTACTACTACTACTACTACTACTACTACTAATTTATTAATTATTAAGAACAGGTTGTATTGTTGTATAAAATTAATATAGAAGAGAAAGAACTGGAGAAAATAACAAAATACAAAGTAAGCAGAAGTAGGACAACTATGGCAATAAAGCAAGGATAGTACCAATAGTAATAGGCGCCTTGGGTGCAATCCCAAAAAAACTGGAGCACCATTTGAACACCATTGGCATTGACCAAATCCCCATCAGTCAATTGCAAAAGGCAGTTTTCCTTGGAAAAGCTTACTTCTTGTGACAATGCCTTTTAACACCATAAACAATATCTCCCTATCCCAGGTCCTCGGAGAGGACTTGGTAAATGGATAAAAAAAGCTAAATCTAGTCTAAACATCTGGATGATTGTGAGAATCAAAAGTGTTCTATCACCAAAGCTGCAGGGGATTTTGTTGTTGCCGTTAACCTGACTTGAAACCAATAATGGCTAAATGTAGACCTACAGATGCGCAATGCTTGCATCTCAAATCATCCAAGACTCTTCTTCACTGCTTTCTCGTGCCTTAAGCAAAACATTAAGGATATAAATATGTTTAGGATTAGCATTTAGTTCATTGTGGGGTCTTTAACTGGGAGGAAGTGCAGACAATTTGGTTTAATTGTTTTTTTGTTGCAGAAGAGTTACACAGAGGGAGGAGAGAAAGAGGAAATAAAACACATATGAAGGTCTTTGTGCCACACACAGAGAGAACGCTGTGGTTAGGGCTTGTTAACATTCCCTACAGACATGGAATTGATTCATACTGAAAATAGATACCCAAACAAGCCGGGTAAACCAAATGTGATTTCTATCTCAACTCAAGGGAAGGCCAGTCCATACATTGTATATCACTGTATCAGACCAGACATGTGCTGACATTGTATAAAAAGTAAAGTAAAACTGGACGTGCAGCTGCTATCGAAACGAAATGAAAACTAATTGTCAATGTTCACAAAAAGTGGTTCTTGAGATGAATTACGATACTTTTTCATAGGATTCACCAAGGAAACGAAAAGGCAATGTGAATAGAATAATTGACATGTCCAGAATCACAGCTTTGAAAATCTCACTTGGGATTGCAGTTGAAGACATCACTATCTATGGGACTAAACATAGAGCCAATCTAGTGTAGCAGTTAAAGCACCAGGCTAGAAACCAGGAGGCTGTGAGTTCTAGTCCCACCTTATTCATGAAGGCCAGCTGAGTCACCTTGGGCCAATCACCAGGGGACTATGAGTTCTAGTCCTACCTTAGTCATGAAGGCCAGCTGAGTCACCTTGGGCCAATCACCAGGAGACTATGAGTTCTAGTCCCACCTTATGCATGAAGGCCAGCTGAGTCACCTTGGGCCAATCACCAGGGGACTATGCTTCTAGTCCCGCCTTAGGCATGAAAGCCAGCTGAGTCACCTTGGGCCAATCACCAGGAGACTATGCTTCTAGTCCCACTTTAGTCATGAAAGGCAGTTTGGTGAAGTTGGGCCAATCACTAGGAGACTTGGGAGTTCTAGTCCTGCGTTAGGCATGATAGCCAGCTGGCTCACCTTAGGCTAGTCTCTCTCACTCAGTCTAACTCATCTCAAAGGGTGGTTGTTGTAGAGATAATAGGAGGAGGAAGGAGTGCAGGTAATCCTCGACTTACGATCACTAGTGAGCTCAACATTTCTATTACAAAGAAAGAGACAGCTGTTAAGTGAATTTTGCCCCCTTTTACGACCTTTCTTGCCACAGTTGTTAAATGAACCGCTGCAGTTCTTAAGTTAGTAACACGGTTGTTAAGGGAACCTGGAATCAGTTGCCAAGCACCCAAATTTTGATCACGTGACCACAAGGATGCTGCAACGGCTGTGAGAAAAATGGTCGTAAGTCACTTTGTTCAGTGATGTTGTAATTTCAAACAGTCATGAAATGAACGGTTATAAGTCAAGAACTTTCTGCATTAGTCATGTTCACGGGCTTGAGTTATTTATAAAATTAAGGCGAGATATAAATACATGTACAAATCTATCACACCTGTTAACTCTGCTCTTTGAATGCAAGGCAGAAAGGACTGAAATTAAATAGGGATTTTGATCCCCGGTAACCATAAAGGATGCTCCTTTTGTTTCTTACTAGCTCGATACCCGGGCTTCATATGAAACTATGTGATCGGGCTTAGTTTTTGGGGAGAAAAATAAGGAGGGGAGGGGAAATTCTGCCTCTGCCTACCAGCATCCATCGGTACTCATCTGGCTAGCGTCCTGTCAGTGTGTGAGAGATTTGAAAGCAGTTTGGAAACTGAAACAGTATTTGCTGGGTGAGCAAGGAGACAGCAAGGAGCCTGGGCGGGGTTAAGCTCAACTGTTCTGTAGTAAAGCTGGTTGCTGCTGTGAAAGTAAAACTGAAACTCCTCTCCTCTGCTTGTGTTTTGCATTCGGAACAGATTTCTTTCCAGGAGGGGAGTAGAACTCCTTAGCATAATAATATAGGAAATACTAATAGCTCTGATGGTCATTTTGAAAAATCCTTAGTAAGCACCTAGAATCCAAGAGGAACATACATGCCAAATTTCAAGTTTGTAGGCTTTACAGTTCTGGAGATTTTGTGATGATGCGTGAGTGGTATTTCAATTTTATATAGAGAGATAAGGCGGGGGGAGGGGAGATTTATAGCTGATTCAGATATCTGACATGTCCAATATATAGAGACAAATGAAAGCACTGAATGTCTGCTGGACACAGATACAGGCAAGCAATGGCACCAATAGAACTCACTTGCTACTCCTGATGCAATTCCATACAGTAGTCCACCTCCTTCGGACTCAGGCTGGAAGACATGGGAACTTGGAGGAGGGCTTCGCTCTTGACGGATGAAGTTATACAACAAAGTTTTCACTAGTCGGCTGGTGTAAGAGAGACTGGCAATACAAAAGAGCCAAAGTTTTAAGTGGATTTGGGACTGCACCAGAATGCAATCAAATAATTCCTTTTCCTCTATTTTGCAAAACTATTTAAAATGCAAAAGTTTAAAACTGTTCTTTTAAAAATGAAAATAGGTCAGTAAGAGATACATCTCATGTTAAAATCCCTAATCCAGTATTTCTCGAACTTGGTGACTTTAAAATGTATGGATTTCAACACCCCCAGAATTCCCCCAGCGAGCCATGCTGCCTGGGGAATTCTGGGAGTTGAAGTCCACACATTTTAAACTCATCAAGCTTGAGAAACAGTGCTCTAATTTGATGCCTAATAGATCCTCTTAATTCTTCTGAATTTTAAAAAGGCTAATATATTTTAAATGTGTTAACAGAGGTACTAAAAAAAGAGGTGCTAGTCTTCACACTCTGAAAATAAATACAAGTTTCCCATGACCTATTTATATATTCAGAACTCATTCATATATGACTTACCATTTATATATTCAGAAAATAAAAGTAGTTTGCAAACTATTTTTATGGTCCAAAATACTCACAGGTACAGAGAGTGGTCCAAAATACTCACAGGTACAGAGCAATGAAGGCAGAAAAAATTTGCAGATCTCAGACAGCCTGCTCTTAACCTGATTCAAGTAAATTCAAAAACTTCTAATGCCCACTCTTTAGAGATTCACAGAAACAAAAACATTAAATACTGCACTGCAAACCAAAGCTTTAGGCTTACACAACTTGGTGCATTCTAAATATTTGAAATATAGTTCCCATAATCTCGTGCCACTGGCCATGCTGATTCAGGCTGATGAAGCTAATGTCTAAAACATCTAGAAACAATGGGTTTCTAACTCCTGCTATGAAGTGTTTTTTTTTTTAAATTTGCTGTAAAAATGTAGAACCATTCTAATTCACTCCATATCCTAAAATTATGAAGTGGAACCGCATACAATAGTTTCATCTCACCATATTTATTTAACAACCTGTTGTTTAAGTGAGATAACAAATAATTCTTATCGCCCGGAGAGTCAATCTGTTATCAGCTTGGGAGATCTTTCAGGAGCACAAGTTAAATAGAAAATATTTGCTTTGACAGAGTAAATGCAGTTGCTATGTTCGTTAAAACTCAGGAATAAAAGCTACCTAGTTATAAAATAGCACTGCAGTCTGACCTACCATCGACCATGCATGAGATACTTATGAATGAGGCTCTTCCGCAGAATTTCCTTGTGGAAAAGCTGACAGGAGAGAAAAACGACCAGTGTTGTCACAGCTTCCAGCGAAATGCTGTATGTAATATCTCTGCAAAGAATGAAGACATAAAGTATTAATCAACACCAATGAGTACATATTTACTAGCCGCCTTTTTAGATGTTACATGCAAATATTGGCTATAATGTTTGCTGTGACCCTGGCTCAAAGAAGTCCTTGACAAAAAAAAATCCCCCAATTCTCATTGCACTAATCTACAGATTCTCTTCCTTAAAAGGTAAAGGTAAAGGTTCCCCTCGCACATACATGCTAGTTGTTTCCAGCTCTAGGGGGTGGTGCTCATCTCCGTTACAAAGCCGAAGAGCCAGCGCTGTCCAAAGACTTCTCCATGGTCATGTGGCTGGCGTGACTAAAGGCTGAAGGTGCATGCAATGCTGTTACCTTCCCACCAAAGGGGTCCCTATTTTTCTACATTTTTTACATGCTTTCGAACTGCTAGGTTGGCAGAAGCTGGGACAAGTAACGGGAGCTCACTCCGTTACGCGGCGCTAGGGATTTGAACCGCCGAAATGCCAACCTTTCTGATCGAAAAGCTCAGTGTCTTAGCCACTGAGCCACCGCGTCCCTTGTTCTCTTCCTTATGTTCTGTTCGTTATGTATTTACAAATAAGAAAACCCTGAAAGTTGGGAGGAGAAAGAAGATAACCCAGCAGCAGGTGGATAGAGTCAAGTGCAGTAGCAATGGGTGCCCTGTTGGGAGGATCTTTAGGGACCTGGTTGCGGATGGATCCCCTGGAGAAAAATTGATGTGGCCACTAAGAAATCAACCCTGACTTGATGGCACATAACCAATCAGATTACACCATTCAATAATCACAGAACAGAGAATCATAGGCTGGAAGGGACCTTAGAGATCTTCTAGTCCCATGATGACGAACCTATGGCATGCGAGCCCCAGCCAAAATTATCTGCACTGCGCATGTGCACACCTCCCAGCTGATTTTCAGCCTGTTTGAGGCTGTTTTTGGCCTCCCAGAGGCTCGAGGGAAGCCTCTGCAGCCTCGGGAGGCCAAAAAAACGGACCTTCCGGAAATACCGGAAGTGCTGAAATGGGCCTGTTTTTCGGCCTCCCGAGGCTGCAGAGGCTTCCTTCGAGACCCCGGGAGTGCGAAATCGACCTCCCCCGGGCTCCAGAGGCTGAAAACGGGCACTTCCGGTATTTCCAGAAGGCTCGTTTTTCGGCCTCCCAAGGCTGCAGAGGCTTCCCCTCGAGCCGCCAGGAGGGCAAAAACGGCCTCAAACGGGCCGAAAATCAGGTGGGAAGCGCTCGCATGCGCAGTGCAGGTAAGTTTGGCTGGGGCTCGTGTGCCTGCACAAATGGGGGCGGGCGGGGGTATTGCACTTGCATGCGCAGCGGGGGGCACATTGCATAGTGGGTTCCAGCATGTGCACATGTGCGCGCTATCGTGCGCGTGCTTGCTTTCGGCACACCACAACAAAAAGGTCTGCCATCACTGTTCTAGCAGGAGACCCTATACCATTTCTGACAAGTGGCTGCCCCGTCTCTTCTGAAACGACTCCACTGATGGAGCACCCACAACTTCCAAAGGCCAGCTGTACTCACTGTTAGAAAGTTTCCCCTTAATTCCAAGTTGCTTCTCTCCTTGATTAGTTTCCATCCGTTGTTCCTAGTGTTGCCTTCTGGTTTGTCAGTTTATTTTAAAAAAACCTCCAGTGATAGAGGATTGAGATTGGCCATCTCAAGTTTTCAAAGAAAAAATAAAACCCGAGAAAGTCCAGTTGCCATTTGGAAAAAGCATCTTTGGGATTCCAGAGATGGGGCACCCAAAACTCTGAGAGGCAAGGGGTTCCAATTAATTGTTCTGTCAGAAAATTTCTCCTTACTCTTAGGTCGGATCTCTCTTTCCTGAGCTTCTACCCGTTATTTCTTGACCTGTCGTCTTACCTTCTACCTTTGTTATTGTTTCCCATTGCTTTTGAACAGCCACCAAGTTTCATGCACAGCTGATCAGGGAGAGGAGAGTGTATAGGATTCTCTCCCCCCCCCACCCTAATTTTTGGTGTTTCTAGGACTGCTGAAAAGACCTCTAAACTAAAATATCCAGAGCCACTGCCAGTGAGTCATGCAGATAATAAGCCATTGCCGGTGAGTCATGCCCTGATAGGATTATTAGGAATGCAGTGGCTCAGGAGGTTTGAAAGCTGGGCTGGTGATTAGTGTTCAAAACTCGCTGCTGCCACTGAGTAGAGTGAGCTCCAGCTCCTGCCAAATCTTCTGTTTGAAAGCAGGCAAGCATGAGGAGATAAATGATACAGCTTCAACGGGCACCTTCATGGAGATGCAAAAGGAGCCCCCAACTGGGCATCCCCTGGGCAACAGTGATGTCACCAGCAAATCCTTTCACTACGGAAGCACTTTGGTACTTCCAACATGGAAGTAAGAGTATTGTGATGACCCAAGGGCGTGGCACAAAAACAATACAGTCAGATAAGGAATAAGAGTCTTTTTATTATCTCCAACTTTGCCCCCAATGTCCAGATTACCTTCTGACTGGAGAAAAACTCTCCCAGGGACAGCCTTTGACTGCAGAAAATTAAGTCCAAAACATGAGCAACACAAACTGTAACTTAAAGTCCAAACAAGCCAAACTGAGGTAATTAGTTTGGCAGAGCAGGAACAAGAATTTCAGACTTGAAGGCATGGCAAAACTCACATGGTTGGGAAGACACCAGGAACACAGATAAGCCACGACAACACAGAATAAAGTCATGTTTGCTCCAGCAGCCTGCCTTTCTTATCATGTCTTCCCAGCTGTGGCTAATGAAGGGAATCAGGGCCCTTTCCTCCCCCGTAAGCCACGCAACCCGTGTTGCTCTCTTCTCCGTTCCTCCCTGCGTGCCCTAGGATGAAGAGGGGATGGGCCTGGGTCTTCCTCTGAACTCCTCCTCCCTTGTTCTACTTCTCCCCTGCCCTGCCCAGCCAGACTTTGCCCTTCCCCAGCCTCCTCCACAGCCCACGGAGCCACACTCCCATTCCCTTTCAGCTGTCCGGCTTCCTCCTCAGATTCAGACTCTGACAGGGGCATGACAAGTATAGAGTTACTGAGTTATTGTGTCTTCAAGACATTGTGGACTATGGCCAACAATGGTGTCTAGACCAGGGGTCACCAACCTTTTGGATATCAGGGACCATTAAATTCATAATTTTAAATCCCGTGGACCACTAATCTGATCTGCCTAATGATTGGCTGGGTGGACGTGGCTAGGTGGTCATGTGACTGGGTGGGTGTGGCCAACTCAATGTCACTCACGTCGAGGGACACCTCACCAGCCTCTATTCGGCCTTCCCCTCTCAGTCATTCCTCACTCACCCACCTTGGCTCCTTAGGGCCCCAACAGGAAGCGGTTGTTGGAGCAGCCACCACGAGAGTTTGCAAAACAGCGGCTCAGTTCAAATTGGATCTGACTGAGAAGGAGGCTCAGCAGAAGCACCTCACTGAGGACAGTGAGCATAGGCTTTCCAAGCAGAGGGAAGACCTGTGGGAGTGCAAGGCCAGGCACCGGCACCTGGAGGCTCAGCGAGCTGAGATGGTCAGCCAGTTCCAGGCCATGATGCTGTCCCACTGGAACGAGGCCCTCCAGCTCTTCTCCACCAGTGGCCCTTCCCTCCAGCCTTCGCCCAAAGCCCTGCACCAGGAGGCTGAAGCAGACCCCAAGTCAGAATTTCTGCCCCCCTTCGACCCACACAAAAAGACGCCGAAGGGGGAGACTCTCTGCAGCAATGCAAACATTCATTGCACATATCTGGCCCGGGGGCGTCGTTTGAGGACCCCTGATTTAGTGCAATATAAAAAAATGTAAATAATTTTTCTGTGGACCACCAAAATTTTCTCATGGACCACCAGTTGGTCCGCTGACCACCAGTTGGTGACCACTGGTATAGACTAGTTTCTAAAGTTGGCATGCCCCCACTGGAGTCTGCCTCTACGGAGGACGAGCAGGAGCTGGGGCCAATGGAGGACGAGAGGGTGGTCCTCCTTGGCTTTGGAGGAAGGTGGGGAGGATTAGGAGGAGGCAGCCCCGGGCCCCTCTGGCTTGGGATGGCTTGCCAACAGGGGGAACAGGGACAGGACAACCGAGAAAGGGCAGGCAGTGAAAATGAGGAGCGAGAGAGCTCAGGCGATGTGCAAGGACAGCTCCCTCCTGATTCGCAAGCACAGAGAGGAGGAGGGAACAGCATAGGCCAATCCGACAACTCGGGAGGAGAGCGCCCCACCCCTCTTCACAATGCACACCTAGGGACTGAGACTTAAGGAGACGCTGTGGGGAGGGGCATTTCTCGGGAAGAAATGCTGAATTTGTGGAGTTTTGTGTGCTGTTCCCGCCGTCTGGAGTTTGCAGGACTGTTTGCCTTCTTCCTTGCTTCGTGAATTCATTGCCTCTGCCTTGTTTTGTGGATTCGTTTCCTTGTTCCTTTGCCTCACTGGACTTCTTGCTTTGAAGCCGTTGTGCTAACAGCGTTTTGCTGGACTACTCGCAGCCAGGGGCGGCTCTGTGTGTGTGTGTGTGTGTGTGTGTGTACGCTTTGCTCCCAGACTTGCATAACGTGGGAGCATTTGGGGGAAAGTTGGGAGCATTAAAGGGGAGTTTGAATTCTCAGCTGGCTGTGTGGCCTTCGTGCCTTGTCCCGGGTCAACACAAGTTTTCTTGGCAAGGTTTTTAGAAGTGATTTGCCCTTGCCTTTTTCACAGAACTGACACTTAATGACTGGCCCAAGGACACCCAGCCAATTTTGCATGCCTAAACTGGGACTAGAACTCCGAATCTTCTGGTTTCTAGCCTGATGCCTTAACCACTAAACCAAACTGGCTCTTTCCACTCCCACACACAAAAAAATACACTTAAAGAGAAAATATAACAACCATAGAAGTGTTTCATACTTAGAACCCTAACAGTACAAAACAGATAGAAGTATTTTCAATATTATGAAAGGCATTTGTCAATTTGTGCTTTTCATTTGTGACTGATTTAAGTCCAGCATATGCCACAGTGGCTTAGTATTGGGTCCA